ACACCTACATGAGATGCAACTTTGTAGAGGTGAATTGTGTGTGGGCTTTGCTTCACAATCTCAAATATGGCGTGCAACACTGTTCGGTAGCGGTGCTCCATCATGTCATGCGGTGCTGCAATCATGTTGGCAACCATGTAAAGGCATGACTGACTGTCAGACATGATGTGCAAGTGGCCAAGGCGTATGGCACAGTAGAGTGCTGACAGCTCACATTGGTTCACATTCTTTTCATGCTGTTGGGGCCCTGTAGGATCAAAGCACAGTGACACCTCATGAGCGCTGCCCCGCGGGGCGTAGCACGCGGCGCCGAGCATTGCATGTGATTGCCCTTCTACAGCGGGGATGTAGCTGGTTCCGCGCCAAACAAACAGGCAATTGTCGTGATGGCAATTGATTTGAGGTCCCCCTGGCAGACACTGCTTGATACACTGGGCAGCCACGTCATGCCAGCACAATTGTTCAGGGGTAAGGTGGCTCAGATGTGCTCGGTAAGGTCCCTGCAAGTTGCCCCACTGATATACAACTTGAGTGAAGATCCCTGCATATCTGTCTGTGCATAATACAAAGGGCATAATATTGCTGTGCCCAACCTCGGGGGCCGGGGCCCCTGCAGCGGAGATCGCACTTTGCTTGATTGTATGTTGGATCGCTCGAGTGCTTAGTATGCGTGGTGCAATTGTAGGCAGACACAAACATATGAAACCAATTCACATGGGAAGCCAAGGATGGATCGGCATACCTGTCAATAGCTTTGCTGGGCCTTTCTTCAGGTGCGTTCCAGCCCTGCATTCATGAGCAACCGGGAGCGGCTTGGTGGGGCCGTAAGGCTGACGTGCAACTGTCTTGATCTGCGCTGTCTCAAGCCTTTGGTTCCAACGTGTTGCGCAGAGGCCACTGGTGCACCCCGTGATGGCCAGCCCAACCCCGAGTGCTGCATAGCACGTGAGTCAGCTGCTTGCTTCGCAGCGGTTTTGACCTGTTGCATGTGCTACACCAGCACCACAGTCACGTGCAACGTGGATGAGGATATGCCATACGTTGCGGCCACGTACCATACTAGACCCACACAATCAACACGGACAATCAACGCGGATAAGGCATGATTTGTGGTAGGGCAGTGGCTGGGGTGGGGCTGCGTCACATGCGCTCCATGTCGATGTGCTGTGCCCGGCACAAGGGCATGGTGGCAGGCTGCTGCTCATACGCACTTGGTAGTGTGACGCGCTAAAACGTTACCTACACTGGCTTCACAGCAGCGTTCTAGGCCTGGACGTGCGCGCGCGATCTGAGCTAGCATCAATTGGACCTCACTCAGGAGGGACCTGCGCAAGTGTTCATGGCCACGCCCAACGATGACGCGTTGCTGTGGCAAGCAGCTCATGATTTTTTCGAGGAGGAGGCGAGCAGTGGCCCCACTGGGCACACTGGCAGTGTGCCAGCGGGCAGCTCACTGTTGGAAGGCGCAGACGGCGCATTCAACGGCGTAACGGCAGCCCATATGCAACAGCTGCAGCAGCAACACCAGCAGCAACAACAACACGGCGGCGCTTCCGCGCTTGCTGCAGCAGCGCAAGTGGGCGGCGCAGCACGGCCCCCGTTGCATCATGGAGGAGATGGAAGTGGAAGTGGAAGCTTGGGTAGCGGTGGTGGCGGCGGGGGCGGTGTGGGCGGATCCGCTGCCTACTTGCTACCTCGTAGCGGCAGCTTTGGCGCGGCCCCTGCGCTTCCTGGCGCGGCGCTCATGACAGGCGGCCTGGGCACTGCAGGCGGTGTGCTGCTGCCGGTTGCGCACCTGCCTTACAGCATGGGCCCGCAGCAGGGCATCGCCATTGTGCCGGCTCACCATCCCTTTGCAGCGGCCCATCACCAGCAGCAGCAGCAGCAGCAACACCTGCAGCACCTGCAACAGCTGCAGCTGCAGCAACAGCAGCAGCAACAAGCGCTAGGCGCGAGCGTCGCTCAGTCTCCACCCGCCGCCGGCGACTCGAGCTCTGGTGGAGACCCAGACGCCGACTATGGAGACTACGGCGGCGCCGCCGCCCCCAGCGGCCGCGCCGGCCGAGGCCGCGGCCGCGCCGGCGCTGGTGCTGCCGCCGCCGCCGCAGCAGCAGCGGCCGGCGGCGGCGGCCCGGGGTCGCAAAACCGCTCAGCGCTCGCGCAGCGGCGGTTCAGGGAGCGGCAGAAGGAGAAGATGCGGTCCAGCCTGCAGCGCGTGGAGGAGCTGTCTGCGCAGCTGGGGGCGCTGATGGCTGAGAAGGATCGAATCCAGGCGCGCAGCCGGCTGTACGAGCAGATGCTGCACCTCAACCTCCACCACGAGGCGCGGCTGCACACCGACAAGGTAGGTGCGGCGACGCCGCCTGTACCTGCGGCGCGCGCGCGGCGCCGAGAGCACCGCCTGCGTTGCTGCAGGCCGCCCTGCCCGGCATCGCCGCTTTAGCGGGAGCCTGCGCGGCGGTTGGGCGCGATGCACACGCGCGGCGCGCACAGCAAGAGATTGATGGCTGGTTCGGTTCAAATGTGGCATTTCAACACGCACTTCTCCTCACCTCGACCCTGGCCCTGCTGCGCGGCAATTGGCCACTAAGCACAACACCATCGTACCTTGATCATCAACCATTTGCAGGAGATCATGGTGCGAGAGCAGGAGATGCTGTTGGAGGAGCTGGCTGCATTCGTAAACATTGTCTCCGGCCTCGACCCCGCCGCAGCCGCCGCGGCCGCGCAGCGCCGCGCGGCCGACAGCGGAGGGGCCGGCGGCGGCGGCGGCGGCAGCGGCGGCAGCGGCGCGGGCGGCGGCGTGAGCGTGGAGGACGTGCGCGGCTGGAGCCTGCAGCACTATGCAGACCGCGTGTTCCCGGGCTACATCCGCCGCCTGCAGCAGCTGCTCGCCGCGCCCGAGCGCTCGCCGGGCGCGCCGGACGGCGGCGGCGGCGGCAACAGCAGCGGCGGCGGCGGCGAGCTGGAGCGGCTCGTGGCGTGGCGGCGGGAGCACGAGGACCGGCGGGCCATGTTTTCTCACTTCTACTGGGCGGCGTACTTGGTGAATCGAGAGGACATGGCAGCAACCGCGGCGGCGCCGCCGCCTGAGGCGACGTGGGCGGCCGTGCTGCAGCTGCTGGCTCTCAGGTGGGGTTCAGGGACGAGCGGTCGCTGCGTCAGTAAGGGTACCCCGCCCGGGTGCACATGAGGCAGGCGCGCCCCGCCCCCGGGCCGCCTGCAACCGCCGCCCCTCGAGGCCCATCCTTCCCCTCCTTTTCTTAGCCCTGCCCTCTTGTCCTATGCCCTCTCTTCGCCCCCACTGTCTCACGGCAGCAACGCACCCTCCCCACCACCTACCCCAATCGCCATGCCAGCTACGTCCCAAAGCACCTCCCACACCCTGCCCCGCCCACCCTACCATCCACCACCCCCACCATCCCCTACAGGCCAGACCAGGAGGCGTCGATTGTCGCCGCGCGCCGCTCCCTCCTGGCGGAGCTCTCGCGCGTCGCCTGCGACTGGGCGGCGGTGCTGCCCGCGCTCGCGCTGGAGCTGCTGCAGGTGCCGCAGGAGCGCTGGGCGTCGTGCGCCAACGTGGGGCGCATGATCGCCAACCTGGTGTCGGAGCGCGAGGCGGTGGCTGCGTTCGTCAACACAGTCTGCAGCGAGGTAAGCGACCGCACGGGCCCCAGGCTCCCACACGTCTGAGGGACTGGGTGCATGCGCCTTGGTGGCTGTGGTTCCAGGGGATCCGTTGACTCAAGCCACCGCTGCTGCTGATGGCTGAAGGTCGATTTTCCTGATTGATCGCTGTGTGTGGCTGCGAAGGCGCTTCTGCCATCGATGCCCTCTCCCTCTGCCTATCACACTCGCTGTGGTTTGAAGCCGGGAAATGAGTGCATCCCAACCATGCCCGCCCTCAAATTTGCTGCCCTCTGCCAACTGCCGACCGCCAGACCTTGACGCTGCAGCAGGAGGCACAGCTTGAGGCGGCCTCATACCCCTGGTGCCCAGAGTGAGCCTGGAGGGAGCCCCACCTCTGGCGGCAAGCTTGGTGCTTCCTCCCCCCATATCCCGCTGCTTTCTGCCAGCGCATGGATGCTACCGCCTGCTCCTCGACAACTTCAGCCTCACCGTCTACCCCCTGGCCCCCTGATGACCTTGATATGACCACCAACCGCTCCCGCCGTCCCGCCTCCCACGCACGCGCCCTCTGACCGCAGCGTGTGGGCCATGTCAGGCCTGCTGGCGCGCGCGGCCGGCGCGGAGGACCTGCTTACCGCCGACCCCCTGGCTGAGCTGTCAAAGGGCACGGACGTGCTGCGGCCGCTCATGCCCTTCGCGACCGCCTTCCAGCTGCTGCGGGCGCCGCTCACCGCGCACGGCGCCGGCGGCAGGCTCAAGCGTGAGCGCTCCGCCGCGCGCCTGGGGCACAAACGAGCAACCTTATCTACGCACTCCCAAACCCTGCAGTGGAGGAACGGACCCTTCCGTACTTGGCTTTGTGGCAAGATGCAGGACTTGAGCGCTCCAGCCTGCTGAGGCCCTCAGCTGCGAATTTCAAAAACGAACCTTTTGCCCCATGCCCCACGCAGGCTCGCTGCTGCTGGACACCTTTAGGACCGTTGTTCCCGCCGCTGCGTTCGGCGCCCCCAGCGGCGCGGCGCTGCGCGGCCTGACGCTGCTGGAGGCTCACATGGGGTCGTTCCAGCCTGTCATGCTGTACGACTGGCTGCGCGCAAACCTGCCGAGCGTCCTGTCGGTCACTACCCTGGCGGGCGGGCGCAGCAGCAGCGGCGGCGTCGCCGGCGGCGGCGCGGAGGTTGCTGGGGTAGGGGCGGCGGCGGACGCGCCGGCGGCGGCGGCGGCGGCAGCGTTGTGGTGACCGCAAGGGCGCGGCGGGCGGCTGGGTCGCGTGCGGCTGCCAGGGGATGGGGATGAGGGCTGGCCCCGTCAGCTTTGGACGCACGACGCCTGATTGCGCGGTGTGTGCTGTGGCGCGGGGCACCCTGCCCGCCTGCCTGCGCGCGTGCAACCCTTGATCACCTGTGCACTGCTCTCAGAGCGATAAGATCTAGTTTTTGACGTCGAAATTATAGTGCCGGCGATTCGCGATCGGCGCCACCCCCAACCAAGCATCTGTGCTCCCGGCGCGCCGCATCGGCTCGCGGCGTTGGCGCTAGCGCGCACCACCACTTCTCCCTTTCCTCACAAACCACACTTGACCCGACAGCCCGGAGACCTCATCGCCGATCACCACAGCGCAGGATCAGCAGGGCTGCCATGCGCGCAGCTCTGCATGTATGTGCTTGTACATGCGGAGCACCGAGTAGAGCTTGCTGCACCCCCCAGCCCAGCAACGCGGGGTGATGCGCTTGCGCAGCAGCAACCCGGCCGCTCGCTCGGCTTGGCGCGGCCGCTCTCCCGTTGCCGCGCTCGCGCCCCTCCATCTTCTCCGAGCGGCGTGGTTTTCGCCGCCGTTGACTCTCTCCTCGCGTCTCTCTGCGACGACGACCTTGTACTGTTCCTTCACGCCAATGCTGACAGCAGGCGTGGGTCACATGCCCCTGCACCAGCTTTTCCCAACGGTCTGTGTTGGTGCCACATTAGATGACCCACAACCGCTTCATCCGCAAGCACGCCAACCACTAGCTGGGGTTATCGCAGCCCAGAAGGGCGCAGCGCGCATGCCCTGCGTTGCCTTGATCCATGTGCTGGCCATTGCAGCACTGACAAGGATTTCTGTAAAGCGCTGAACGCTTGCAAGAGCAATGCGATTGCGAGCAGGTCATCACAGGGACCGCGCGCGGGGCGATGGTGCGCGGCGGTACGCGTGCGAGGGGATGAGCCCCGGGCGGGGCAGCAAGACAGTTGAGTCATGATGGACGTTTGTGGCATGCGTGGGTGGTCATGCCGGTCTGCGAGTACCGCACATGCCCGACGGCTCGTGCTTGCACTGGACTGCAGCGGCAGTGTTTGCGCATGATTGATGAAGCAGCCCCCGCTAGATTTATGGGTGATTTTTTGCCTCACTTGTACGATCATCCTGACCACATGCAAGCAGAGTTGGGCGATGACGTGCATTCCGTTATCGCGAGCAGCTGGTCAGTGGGTGGCACCCGATTTCATTCTGTGTTCACTTAAATCTCAGCATACCGTAGTGGTTGGAGTTCTTAAATTAGTATCTTACCTTTCTCAAAGCCAGCACAACACTCGAGCTTTTGAACCATATATTTTACTGCCGGCGCGCACAGCATTTCCGGCAAACACACAGGACGAAGGGACGCGCACGGCAGCTGTAGAGAAACGTGCTAGCCACGCGCGCGGTGGCGGCAGCCGCTAGAACTCGCTCTCGTGCATTACGCCGCCGCTGCCAAGCAGCACCGGAGCGCTCTGCACGCCCCATCCCATCGCATCCATGTGGGCTCCAGGGGTTACCGTACACAACGGAGATGTGCTGACAGATGCGGCCGCCCAGATTTTTGGCTACTTGGGCGGGGCGATTTTGGCGGCATGCCTCATTCCGCAGGTGAGATGGCGGAAGGCTTGCCGTCTCATCCACATCGACGCAGCATCGTTGCCCTGCCCTGCAGCGGCGCTGGGCTGTGTCGGCCACGCAATTGCTCTGCCTGTGCACATAGACAGTTGAGACCACCCCACTGTTGGATGTTGACGCCTGACTGCCCCTGTAGACACTGGCCGTGGCTTGCAGCGTGTGCAGAGCCTGTGACGTCGCGCACACCCCGACCAGTCTTTACACCGCACGCTGCACGCTGTACAGATTTTGAAGCTCGTGCGCACACGCTCGGCTGCTGATCTCGCAATTTCGTGGGCGCTGCTTTACATACTGGGCATGGCCTTTACGGTGAGCGGACGAGCCAAGGGTCGGCACCAGCCGCAGCGGCCGCAGCAGCCGCCGTGGCCGCCACAGCTGCAGCGGCCGCAGCAGTCGCGGCAGCCGCCCCAGCCTCAGCAGCAACCGCGGCCCCAGCGGCCGCGGCAGTCGCAGCAGCGAAGGCGCCCGGCGCCCACGACAGCGGCCGTGCCAGCAGCGCCCGTGCTGCGGCTGCAGAGCATGCGCTGTTGATCTGCTCGGCAGTGGGTACAGCTTCAGCGTTGTGCCAACCGCCTGCGTGTTTCGACACATCCATGTCGCACCCTGCTCCCGTGTTTTCTCCACGACCTCCCCCCTTCTCACGCCTCCCCACCCCTGGTGCCCCCACCCCTCCCGCCAGCT